AAACACAAATATTTTGTTTTTATTTTTTTAAATTACGATTAGCACTAAAAATTTTGATTGATAGCAAAAGAATCTAAATTTTGCTTTTATTTTTTTAAATTACGATTGGCACTAAAAATTTTGATTGATAGATAAATTTGATTTCGAGTTTTAAAAAATTTACCTATTTATCTGCGTATACAATATATGTATGTATATTGTTTAGTGTTCGTGCAGATAAGTGAGATTTTGACTGAGTCCATATAAAACAGGACCTCACAATCTTAAAGGGTAGCTAATGACTGAGCAGGCAGGATCGTATTATCTTCGCTACGAAAAGGGTTCGGTGAAAATGAAGAGAAAACCGACTCGTGGCGGCCTCTACTAGAATATATTAGCAACTTACATTGGAACGCAGTTCTCTGACATACATCTGAATTTTCTCCCTTTTGAAATGAAAGCGAAAACCGAAAAGAAATAAATTAATTAAAATGCGAGGACGAAAAAGACTCATCTGAACATGAAGGATAAGGTTGTCAGGGTGATAGGCGGATTTAACGTAACCTTGCCATTAAAGATAGCGACTATTTGCATACCTATGTGAGACAACAGTATCTATATCATTACGTCGCATGTTTGAATTTAATTTATTAAAAAAAAATATTTATTATTTAATCGAAATTTTAATTAGGTATATATTTGTTCATAATTTCTGACTTGACCTACCCGATTAAAGAAGCTTGGCTACTTTCACAATACAAATCACTTACTTATCTTTAAAAGAAAGCTAAATATTTGTTTATTTCTTTCTTTGGTGAATTATCTGTCAAAAAAATACGGCAGAAAAAGCGATTTATTACGTAAACCGTTTACTAGAACTCGCGATTTTTGTACACTAGAAATGCGAAAAATAAAAATGGCTCCGCAAACATTAGAAGAACGTTTCAAGTGGCCCGATAAAAATAGAATGTTTGAACGGCCATCTTGATTTTTTACAAAACGGAATTTTTCATGGCGCTTGATCTTTCGAAGTTCTCAAAAAAAAAAATAACCGTTTTCCGATCGGACGCGCGTCAAATTGAAGAAGCTGCCCGGTCAAAAAAAAAAATATATCGTCACTTCGTTCGTATATTAAACTTTCTGATGCGGTAACGATTATTATTATTATTATTATTATAAGTAGATATTATAAGTGTATACTGGTAGATGCAGCCGTTAAAATAAAACAGCGATTTTTATTCGCGCATTTGGCAAACATCGGGACGATTTCTTTATTTTTAGAAATCTTTTGTTGAAAATTCGGTAGTGCTATATTCACTTAAGGGTGTGTCTTAGATTCACTTCGCGTTCGTACCTACCCATAAACTAACTTATTAGTTAGTTCGTTCGATATAAATTGTGTTGTGAAATGCGTTTACATGCGTGATTATACTGTACGTTGTAAGTATCTACATGTAGTCATTTGTTAGTTTGCAAATATACCTATACATCTAACCATCATTCAAACGCATATATATATATATATAAAGTTTATACACTAAAAGTCGTAAATTTAAACTTTGTAAATATTTACTATCGTCCTCGCATCTCTCAGCTTTGACTTTGACATTAAACTACTGTTTTGGTTACTTACTGTCGATCCCCTTTTACAACAACATGACGCCACTTTCACCGCCAAAAATTCGATTGATAAAATTATATTATCTATTAGGTACTCGCATTACGTACGTATATATGCCGTGTCTAAATACCGGCTCAATGAAATCCTACCCTGTAAATTTTCTATTATTAAATTATTGTTTTGTTACTGTAGGTATTGTACTCTGTACGGCTTTCCCAATTTTTCTTAGAAGTACATGGGATCTCTTTAGTGATTAGGAACATTGGTACTTGGAATCTAGGTCTTGTTCTTGCAAGTACCTACAAAAACCTTCTAATATTTTTCCGCTAAAAGGTCAAAAAATGCGTTGGTAAGTTCTTGAGTTTTCACAACCTTCACCACTTATATCGACACTATTTTCTTTAAAAGTCATGATAAATTCGCATGTATGACAAAAACGACTCAAACCAACACCGAGACTACATCAGCAGGACCAATACCAAGAGTAGAAGTATTTGGGCAAGATTAAGATTAATCCGCGTCTGGCAGTTTCGACAGAATACAGACCACTACGAATTATTTTATTAGACCTCTTGCTGAATCAAATTTTCGACGGTGCAAAACATATCCTGATGTGAATTTTCTCAAAACTTCTAATCTTACCTAATGCCCTTTTCGATAATTGAAGGTAACGTGCCTATCACGTTGAGGTGAGCTACGCCGGGATTCGTTTCAGCAACTAGATATCCATATATTTAAATGGACCTTGTTGGAGAATACGTAATCCTAAAATGTAGCATCGTACTACAGATGGCGTTCACCATGCCATTTGTGGTATTTTCTAAAACACGCTGTTAAGACAGCAGGTAACGGTTGGTCTGTGTTCTGTCGGAGCTGCCTGCGACGCGCTGATGAGATCCAAAAAGATCGAAATCGCAATCCGCGTCTCGCAGTTTCGACAGAATAGAGACCACTTCGAATTATTTTATTAGACCTCTTGCTGAATCAAATTTTCGACGGTGCAAAACATATCCTGATGTGAATTTTCTCAAAACTTCTAATCTTACCTAATGCCCTTTTCGATAATTGAAGGTAACGTGCCTATCACGTTGAGGTGAGCTACGCCGGGATTCGTTTCAGCAACTAGATATCCATATATTTAAATGGACCTTGTTGGAGAATACGTAATCCTAAAATGTAGCATCGTACTACAGATGGCGTTCACCATGCCATTTGTGGTATTTTCTAAAACACGCTGTTAAGACAGCAGGTAACGGTTGGTCTGTGTTCTGTCGGAGCTGCCTGCGACGCGCTGATGAGATCCAAAAAGATCGAAATCGCAATCCGCGTCTCGCAGTTTCGACAGAATAGAGACCACTTCGAATTATTTTATTAGACCTCTTGCTGAATCAAATTTTCGACGGTGCAAAACATATCCTGATGTGAATTTTCTCAAAACTTCTAATCTTACCTAATGCCCTTTTCGATAATTGAAGGTAACGTGCCTATCACGTTGAGGTGAGCTACGCCGGGATTCGTTTCAGCAACTAGATATCCATATATTTAAATGGACCTTGTTGGAGAATACGTAATCCTAAAATGTAGCATCGTACTACAGATGGCGTTCACCATGCCATTTGTGGTATTTTCTAAAACACGCTGTTAAGACAGCAGGTAACGGTTGGTCTGTGTTCTGTCGGAGCTGCCTGCGACGCGCTGATGAGATCCAAAAAGATCGAAATCGCAATCCGCGTCTCGCAGTTTCGACAGAATAGAGACCACTTCGAATTATTTTATTAGACCTCTTGCTGAATCAAATTTTCGACGGTGCAAAACATATCCTGATGTGAATTTTCTCAAAACTTCTAATCTTACCTAATGCCCTTTTCGATAATTGAAGGTAACGTGCCTATCACGTTGNATCTATTAGAACATATAATATAATAGATTTTTTGTGAGCACTCTGTAAATGGTTTTCTAAGTGCGCTATCTACCTATAGGCAGTAGATAGGTTCCCGATAAGATTTCGCCCATCGTCGGCGCCAAAAGAACGAGCCAATCAGTCAACCAACGTAGTAACAATAACATTTTCCGATAAAGTGAGCTG